TATAACGCTTATAAGCGCATAAGAATCGGCCGATCGAGGGTGCGCGGCGGTTGCGTTGCTGCGCCGCAGTTAAATATCATCTTGCCTGGGGTTCCGCCCTCATCTTTCCAGCAAACTTGCTAACGACTTTTGACAACTCTGAATAAAGAAAGCGAGTCAAATCGGAAGAAAAAAGTGCGGAAAGGCTTAGAAAGAGGCGAATTGCGCCAAATCGGTACTCAACAAAAAGCCACAACGCAACCGCCGCGCACCCTCGATCGGCCGATTCCTATTGCGCTTATAAGCGTTATAAGAGTCGGCCGATCCTTATAAAGTATGGAGATACCCATAGCAATAAAACAAATCCTGCGGGTTGCATAGCGACTGACCGCTGGCAGCGTCCTGCTACATTGTGCAGTTTTGATCGTTTCCTATCTGAAATCTGCTCTGCTTGTTCTTCTTTTCCTTCATCAATCGCTGTGAAACAAAAATTGCCAAATTTTCAAAAATATCTATTGAAACATCTCGGAGAATGATCGAATCAATTTTTGCTAAAACTTTCAAGTCAAAAATCACTTATAGTCTGACAATTTAGCTACCTACGTACATCACCTCCATAAAAGTAGTAATGATTAGACAAAAAGCACATGTTCCTTGAAATTTGAAATGTAGCATAGGTCATTTTCCTAAAATAGGCCCAAGCTCTGGCTATTTCAGGACAAATCTGTCTAAAATGTGTGACCCCAATCGGAACCTTACTACATAGCCTATAACAGCTGAGTGAATTCGGCACCATTGGCATGTGTCGGAACCTCACACGTTTAGTAATGCTTATAACAAGACTGTGGCATCTCTAGCTTAATCAAAATGCAGCTTATTAGCAGGAATGACTTATGACCCAATTCCTCCGTCTTGGGAAGCCTCAGGGCCACAATACAACTGCATCATAAATTTGAGTCCAAAATTTTCGCACTGCATACATTAAATATTACGTTCGAACGTCCGAATATCGCGTTCGTTCAATTCGAGTTTTCGATGGTCAGCCGAATTTTCGAATCACTTCAAAGTCGAAGATTTTGAGTAGTCGGATAGTCGAGTAATCCGAAAATCGGAATTTCCAAATTCTTCCAAAATATTTGAAGACTTGAACTCTAAATTTCTAGTGTTCGAATTTCCGAGTGACTCGAATTTGTTTTATTCGAGTGATCGGATGACTATTCGATTCGGTGCGATTAAAATAGGCGGCACGAATGAATGACGGTTGCGCAGATTCGATACTTAGCTAATCCCCTTCTCCGTACTCTGCGCTATCGCCAATCAGCCGCCTCGCCGCTGACCGTACTGTCTTGATCTGTGCAATCG